ATCTTATATATATATATATATATATATATATATATATATATAAAACAAGTAAAAAACTTTCTTCCGACTTCTCCAAGTATTTTTCTCTTATTTTCTAACAGAGAGAAATAAAAAAACAAAAAGTGTAGATACTTTAAGTCTAACTGATATAGCTTTAAGCTGACTGGCATATCGGTCAGTGATCACGGTCGGACAAACACCGCCATTAGGACGGCAACTCGATGACGTAAGCGAACTAAACAACGAAGGTCGTAAGCATTTCTCTATACCATATAAAAATGTGCGAATAGAATCGCGTGTAACAGGTATATTATAATAAATCACAAAAATTTCATTAATTTATCTTAAAATCACGAATTATTTCGCGAAAGATAATCAATATTCTTAACTATACTCATATATATATACTTACAATAGATTCTATTCGGGACTGACAGATCGAGTATACGAAAAGAATAATCTTTTTATAGGGCAGCCGATTTAGAATATAGAACGAAGGGAGAGAAAAGGTAACTCATCGAGATTCTCGTGTCTTTAATAGGCCCGAGAAAGGCAAAGAAAAGAAAAGAATGGAGGAAAGGAAAGCTCTTCCTTCCGTAGCTAAGGAAAGGAATAGATAGATAGATACATACATAGATAGATAGATAGATAGAAAGGAGAAAGAAAGGCTTTATCATCTTAGCGATTAACTTTTGCTGTTTGATCGATGTCTCGTACAAGGTAACGGCAAATTGCAAATGAATCAGTGATACACGTTTTAACAGGGTTGAAAGAAAAAGAGAGAATAACCATCATCGTTGTCGTTGTCGTTGTCGTCAGGGTTGCTTGTTCGATAGGACTGTCTTTTCCTCGGCTTTCGGCTACTCGATAAGGATCTAGGATTCGAGGCCAAGCAAGTCACTACGTCCTCGAGGCCGTCTTTGGCCATCGGCAAATTTCGAAAGGGCGCTCGACCTCGCGGAACGGGCTGAGAGCAGTTGATTTGGGTAACACAGAGGAGGGTGAGGTAGAAAGGGGAGAGTATAGATAGATCGTATGTGTTGCAAAGGGAAAGTAGTCCCATGAATACGTAGGTACGTCCCGCGGCAACGCGTATACCAACCAACTGAATTGGAGAGCGACCGAAAGAGATTATATATACATATACACGTGTATGTACTAGAGGGAGAAGAGAGAGAGAAAGAGGACACCTTGGTACACAAAAGACCGCTTAATATCTAGGTGATTCGTATTGTAAGCGAGTTTTTAATATGGCTGCTGGCTACGATGACGACGACGACGACGACGACGATGACGAGGACGATGAGAAGAAGAAGAAACGACAAGGTGTGTTGGTGTACCGATCGTGTTCCATATGTTGAGGAAGGTCAAGCACCCTTCGCGCCAGACAATGAAGCACTTCGAATCTCGCACGTATCTCGATCGAACGAATATCTGTGATTCACGGCTTTACACGGGAGTGCCTATGCAAATCCTTCTTCTGTGATATGCATGATGCACACCTATGTTTACTACGTTTGTATACTACTCCGTCTATGTATGTTAGTAGTGTGCGTTTGTCTCTATTGCTGCTTATATTACAGTAGCAATTGGTCTCGCGCGCGGTGCTTGCTTGCGTGTGCGTTTGACCGTCGAGGGAGACACCTAGACGTTACGTTCTGTAGGTCAGAAGAACGTTCATATCGACCGGGTTTGCTTCGGTCATGTACCACTGTCGTTGATTGTGATCGTGCAGAGACTCTGCGCGTCTGGTCGCGACGCCGCAGACCCAATCCCACATCCTTTCTTTATCATTTTCAATATTCTTCATCTCCTTTTTAATTCATCTTACATAAATACTTGACACTTTTTTATTTTATCTTTTATATTCGATCAAATTGTTGAAATGTAACGATTAAAAGAGTAACGCATCTCTCAACGATTGATTTGAATTTGTTGAAAATCTAATAGCATATGCGTGATACATCGTATACTTATTCTTATAAGGGGGATGCATACTTAGACCTTATATTTGATCGGCTAATCCGATCGACCCTTTCGAGTAAATCCCTTCTTCTATGTATTTCTCCATTCGTGTTTTCAAAAATACCCCGTTCGAGATCATGACGTGTTCGAGGCAACAAGGTCGGCGTTGGACTATTGATTTTGGGGAGGCGGAGGAGGCTCGAATCGAGTTTTCAAGGATATTATGATTGATAGAAGGTACGGGAATCAACGAGAGGGCCATACCAGGGGACGTACCAAATTTTTCCTTCAAATTCCTGGGGGACAATCGCGCGATCCCTTAACATTTCAAATCGTTGACTGTTTTCTCTTTAATAAGATTCTATATTTTTGTTTGGATAGAGAAAATAGTTAAGAAAACAGTATCTCTGTGTGTTTTGTTCTTTTTTTTATTAATATTATTCTTTGATTGGATTTGTTACAAGATTGTTTCAAAACGGTACAATTCTTTATTAATTTTTATTCAATTTACCTGAAAATAGGACCGTCCAGTAAGACGAGTCATGATTCGTCAATTGACGCAGTAATATTACTCTTCATGAATAGTTACCCTTATAATTTAACTTCCATTGTACTTGCTGGATCGTTGGAATTTTTCAACGAATCAGTCGTTACCTTAGAAGGGTAAGATCTTAATTGTAGGAAATCCTGGAAAGTCTACGTTCAATGTGTTAATAAAATCAACGTTTTATGGCGATAAAATCTAATTGTTCATAAATCAGGTAGCTAGCGCTTCCTTTGAAGTATAATCTTCACGGGTTGTAATTACGCGTTAACGCGTGTTTAACGGTTAATTTGAAAGAGGTTTCTTCGATGATGTATCGTTTTTTTTTTTTTTGCGATAAAAACGTTTAAACGTTATTAAACGTTTAGAAGTAATTTCACACGATCGAATGTTAGACTACGCAACGATCGTTTTGCGAAAGTAAGTAATTAATAATTGAATGATCGTGTTTTTTGTTGATCAGTGTTAACGAAGATAACAAGACAAGTAATAAATACATTATTAATTGAATACTTTTTCGTGTAGTTGCCATGGAATTGAAAGTCGTCATGCTGCGAAACACGAAAAACGACCGTCACAGAAGCTGGAAACATCATGGCCGTTTTCATTGTAAGTTTGTCAATTTTTATCGCTTTTTTTTTTCGCTCACTAGAAATAACGCTGTCTTTCGCGCTCTTCCAAAAAAATAAAGAAGAAGGTTTCGTAATTTAGGAACGACGCCTGAACCTATTATTCGAACGATCCATCAAGCTCGCGGATTATTGCGTTTTTCGATGAACGAGGAGCTTGAGAAGGAGTGGGCTGCTGGTGGGGTTCTTAACTCAAAGATATAAAATTGGAAAAAATGATGTTCATCCTTCGAAGGGCCATGTAAACTGCAACTTTAAATAGATCTCGCATATAATTAGATTTTGATTGATCGAAGATTAATCGTTTATCGGCGCCATTTGTCCGATCAATATTTTCTTACGATTCGTTTCGTAGGTCTCTAGATGGCACGCTTTGTTCAACTCCCCTATTGCGATCTAAAAACTTGCACTTTCTGCCGTTTGATCGCGCCACTTGCACGTTTCCATTGCTACGAACATGATGATCCGTTCTAATTATATCATTGTCGAATTAAAAGCTCTCTCGTTGATCCTTTTATTCAAAGCAAAATGGTCTTAACGATCGTTCATTGTTCACGCTTTTCGTTTAAGAATCTAACATTTAGGTACAGAAATATCTGTAATATTCTATATTGTCATCAAAGTCGGAATTAAACCCTTTCGTGAAAAATCCTTGATTGATTTCGATCAATCGGGTTTTTTAACTCGTTCTTATAATTCCCATGTTCACAACTAACATGTTTCGTTAGAAAGTTTAATAAGTTATCGATTGCATCGTTGTACGACAGGAATATATCCTTTCACGATGATAATAGCTACATTTTTTATTTGAGCGAGTGTTCTTTCATGAAGTCTACGTAACAAGCTAGCAAGATGCCGATCCAAAATCAGTTCAGTTCGCAACAACGAACATCCGGAGTCCTCGGCTTATCGTGGTCGTGTTTTGACCTTAACACTGATTGGTCGATACCTGAAAATAGCCGACCCAGTCTATCTGATAACGTGTCTTATTTATAAATCCAATTTTGCGAGGTAGACATGCGCATAAGAGTCCTGCGTACGCTTTACGATTTCTTCAATGAAATTGACGTTTATCCCACGTTACAAGGATACAAATTTGTCTTCTTTAAATTTGGCAAATGAACAAAAATCGTTTCTCGGTAGAACAAGAAAAAAACATGATAATGAAGAAACGTGTAAGAGGACTATAATTGTTAAAAGATTGAAATTCCAGTAGAATTCATCTACCGAGCGTGGTCGCGTGTCGCGTCATTTGAGGAAAATTGACAAAAAAAAAAAAAAGAAAGGGGAAAGAAAAAAGGAACAAACGGGAATGGAAGGACGACGCCGACAGCGCCACGAAACGGCGATGGATAGAAGTTTTGGTAGAAACGTCGAGAGGTGAAGAGGCGTCTAGGCGTCTAGCAACCACCACTGACCGAGTCGGAGATATCGCGGAAAGCCGTAAAACGTCGTCGCTTGCGCTAACTTTTCAAAATTAAATCTTGCGGCCAGCTTGTATATTGAGCGAACAACAACCAACAACCAAAAAAAAAAGAAAACAGACAAATGTCGGGATCACAGTTGTTTCTCCGTGGGGAGAAGAATTTCTTTCCCTTGGTGCGCTGCTGCTGTTGCTGCTGCTGTTCCTGCTACTTGTCGCTTACTCGCTAGTCGCGTTTCGCGATTTGTTAGTGTTTTCTTTGAGTTAATGAAAAAATATTAGTGATCGAAGTCTACCTTTCGACGATTCTATTCTCCTTCAACCTTCAATTATCTTTTTCTATTGGAAAGGATTCCTTCTCTCTCTGTCTCTCTATCTATCTATCTATCTATCTCTCTATCTATTTGTCTATCTCCCTAACTTTGTCTCTGTCACTCTATCTATCTCTTATTTCATCCTACCACCTGTCGTGCCGTCATTGAAGAAGTCAATGACGAGAGACGTAGAAAACAATACTGGAGGAGACAGAGTTGATACGAAAGATTATATGAGAAGAAAGTTAAAAGGAGTGAGTCGTCTGTTTAACGAGCGAATAGTCAAAGAGCGAATGGCGAGCTTGCGCAGTTGTTAACTGGTAATAGCTCGATGATGCAGAAAACCCTTTCAAAATGGACGAGTTGACTTTTTTATCCCTTAGAATGTAAACGTTTCTAAATTGAATCAATATATAAACGAGAGAATAAGGTATAATCTTTAACCTGACGCGTCAAAGTTTATCTTTAGTTATGCTTTAGATAGATATCAACTGACAACTAAAAAGTTAAAGGAGAGACAGAACGATGCCTTCTCATTGTCAGACCTTGCGACCCTTTCGAGAATCGATACGGAGAACGTAGCATCCGACGAAGTTGAAAATTATGAAGAAAGGGAACTCCTGAGGAAAGAAACAAAACTAAAAATGAAAGGAACATCGAAGTAACCCAGGAAGGAAGGAAGGAAGGAATCGTTAATGGAACAAACAAAAAGCAAGATGGTGGTTCAGAAATGATTAGCCGTTGGGAAAAGGCGTGGCGGCGATTCATCTAGGTCACGTTCCTTAGCATTGAATATATATATAGAGAGCATTATTCTTACGATTCTCCTATTGCCGATTGATTTTCCATACCGCGATCGTAATCTCTTTGATAAGAAGGAAGAGAGAAAGACAAGGTCGGAGGAGGGTGGTTAAGGGGGGAGGAAAATAGTTCCTTTCGCATCGACAATCTCTTCTATAATACTTTCTCTTAAGGATACCGTAACGTGGTGGCGCTTAAACTATTTCCTAGAGAGAATCGATCTTTTTTTCTCTCTCTGTCTCTCCTTCTATCTCTATCTCTATCTCTATCTATCTTTATCTATACATACAAATCAAAGGATGACCTTCGAGTCGTATGCAACGTCAATACGAACATTTTGAACTATCTACATGTTTCCTTCGACATTATTTAAGATTCTCATTGTTTAATTGATTTTTAAATTTTCGTAGTAGAAATAAAAATAGAAAGGACAACGCTATGCGAATGAGTGAATTACCGCGAAAGACGAAGGGGGGACGATGGGGTTGGAGTCGTTCATTGAGTGGTATAAAAAAGGATAACAATCGATTAGAAGAAGCACGATACATTTCTCGCGCTTCGATTCTTTCGATCCTATCGTTAATATTAATCGGTTATCATCGGAGATATCGATGCGAAATCTCTTTTATTGAATGTCGTTTCGCACGAAATATCTTTGATCTTTGATTCGTTCATTTTTTTTCTATAAACGGTATTTAATATTCGAAAGAAAATAACAAGTATGATGAAGTATTATCGATGCCAAATCTGCGCAAAGATCTATTATCTTTTTTGTTTTTTATTAAAACGTTGATCAAAGTGTTTAAAATAGAAAAGATTCAAAAAATTACTGATGTATGTATGCGTGTGTATATGTATAAAAGAGAAAATGAGAAATAGAGAGGGAGAGATTACATTAAGAGAAAACATTTTCATTTGTTCAGCATATTGATCGAAATTTTGTATCTTTCAAATTGTCAATCGAGGAATCGAAATGGAGAAGAATTACACAAATTTCTTTTTGTTAATCGAAGTTAACAGGGTGGAGGGGTTGCGATTTGTTGATTCCTTGAAACTTCTTGAACGCTGCCATTGACAAAGAAAATCATTTTCAACGCGCATGTCCAATACCTTGACTACCAAGACGCTCTATTTGCCGTTACAAAGCATTAGAAGAAAGATTCCTAAATGGTATGTACAACATTTCATCGACTATATTTGCAATAAAATTATTGTGAGAGAAATAAATAGGGAGATATAAAAAGACAAATAGAAACATACAATGGATGAAGGAAAAGTGTTGGACAGCGAAAATGCTTCACTAAAACTTCATTATCAATTAAAATATTGGCTGTGCTATCGTTTAACCAGAGCTTATCTTGCATTTACCTAGTGTTCATATTTAAAAAAAAAAAAAAAACCATACTCTGTCTGTCTTCGAGTCGACAGGAGAAAAATTGAAGAAAAAGTGGATTACGAAAATGAAATCTAATTCGATATTTTTGCTACGTTCTTTCCAAATCTAAGAAGTACTACCGTCTATCGTAAATTCAATTTAAAAAAAATATATAATCGATCAGTTTTTCGATCGAAAAAAGGGAAAATAATAACGGTGGATGACAAATATCGATATCAGTGAGATCTGGAAGACTGATGTTCCAATTTTGAACTTGAGCGATTCTACTCTTTGTTCTTCGCTTATTTGCAACGAATTCCGCCCACAACCTTTGCGTGTACGTCAAAGCCAAGAAGAAGAAGAAGAAAACGACGACACATAGAAGAAGAAGAAGAAGAAGAAGAAGAAGAAGGATCGAGTTACGTCAAGAATAAGACAAATGGAAAGAGAAACCAGATAAACGATCGATTTTCATTAATTCGTCCCTGACGAAATACACAGAGAGAATTAAGAGAAAGAAAGAAAGAATATAATCAACGTGCTTTAGTAAAATAAATAAAATCATGCATGGGATAAAATATCGATGATATTTCTTAAAAATCAAGTTAACATTTTGCGAATCAAGTGATTCGACGAGAGAGAGATAGAGAGAGAGAGAGAAAAAGAAGGAGTAAGAGTGTAGGAAGGAATAACAAGGATAAAAGGTCGAGAGAAGGAGAAGAGGCCCTTGGAAAACGATACTTGTTGAAACATGACAAGATATACCTTGCCCAGATTCGCCTTATGGCGACCAAGGCGTTCCGTAACTTCGCAACCACCGAACAACCAGGAAAACAACCCTCTCATGTATGCAATCACTCTTCTTTATTCTTTGTTTGCTCGTATTGAGTATCGAAAACTGCAGCCTGAAAAAAAAAAGATATATGTGAAGGAGGAGAAAAAAAATTAAAAAAAAATTAAAAAAAAAAAAAAAAAAAAAAAAAAGAAAAGGCAACAGGACGACGACGTAGATAAAAGCGATAAAGCAAAAAGTTGCGATGATCTACGCGTCGTGCCGTACCCGCTTTTTTATCGTCGACATGCACATAAAGCACGCTGCCATAATTTCTTTATGTTTTTTTTTTCTTTCTTTTCTTTTCTTTTTTTTTTTTTTTTTGTACAGAACATGTTCTCTTCAAAGTTAACGCACACAAGCCACATGGGAGACACGTCGTCCATCGTGATTGTCGTGCATATCATATATGCTCTTAAATAAAGCTCTTGATGTGCTCAACCTGTACCCTCTAGACCCAATCCTTTTTTATATTTTTTTTTATCAATCTCTTCTTTTTCTTTTCTATTTTCTATTTTCTTTTCCCCAGCCGTTTTTCTATGCTTGTTACGAATCCTTGCACAAGCATCAATTTTATCATTGTTTCTCTTTCGTTTATAATCATTCGCTAAAAATTAAAATTGACATTTTATTTTTCTGATTCGTAGCTGTACAATAAATAATCCCGATTTGTAAAATTCAATGTTTAGATTAATTTGTGCGCTTCGTTGTCGGCTTTCTATTATATTCCCATCTCTTTCCATCGCAGTCTTAGAATTGCAAACTCGTGGCTGTGTTCTAGTTGTTGTTCCAGCTGTTATGTATTACATTCGATAAGAACAAGAAAGTTAAAGAGAGAAAGCGTGAAAGAAAGAGAGAGAGAGAGAGATATATAAAAACATGATAAAAAATGAATCGAACAAGTATTACCTTGGTCGATGTAGCGATGCAATTTTTTGTTCGTATGGTCCTTCTGTACTCGATCGAATCCTAAATAAATTATTCATCGTTATTTAAAAGGGGATTCATTGATTGAGCAAAGAACATTATTATGCAAAAGGAAAGTGCATTTTTATTCTCTCGTATCATGCGATTTGTCCTACTACTCTCTCTCTCTCTCTCTCTCTCTCTCTCTTGTTCTTTCATTTTTTTCTTTTTTTATTGTATCGCGTGTATGTATTGTAAAGCGATTTATTATATCTGAGGATTATTGCAAAGCAATTTATTTTTTTTCCTATCCCATGTAACATAATTCGTGTAATTTCGTTCGATCGTGCATTAATCAAGTCAGTCTTGTCTAGAATGATTTCGCGCGTTAACGGATAGTTCAATTGCCGATGATAGGTACAAATGTATACGATAGATACACATACACGTTCGGAACAATAGTCGTCGTTATCGTCACATCGTAGATATAAGAAATAAAAATGTTGCTGAAAAGGACGTGTGTATATAATAAATAAATAAACCTTTGAGCTCTTTTTTTTTTGTTTTTTTTTGTTTTTTTCGCAGTGGTTACAGTGCTGATCGTAGCTAAAAGAAATAATAAAATAGAAAAAAAGAAATGTGAAGAAAAAAGACAGAGGGGAGGGGGGGGGGAAAAAGAAAGAAAGGAAGTCCATAGCAGGATGGATATCTTTTTTGCGTTTAAGCGGCGCAGGTGGCCAGGTTGGCAGCTGATACGAATCGATAAATATTTATATACCTTGGAACAAGAATAGTCATATACTCAGTGCAACGGCGTTTATCGACTTCTAAGAAAAGTGCATGACTAATCGAGTGGCCGACATTTGCCATCTGCGTTAGGCACAGAAAAATTAGATGAAAAACTTTCGACTATTATCAAAATACATATAATATGTACTTTATGTATGTATGTATGTATGTCTTTGTGTTAGTACATGCTTATTTATATACCTGCATAACATTTCTTAAGTTCTCTCTTTTCTTCATTCTCCTTCCGGAATTTAATATTTTCTAAAGATTTGTATATATCGTAGGAAAATTATATTTTGCGCGCAACAAAGGTCGCGTTTAAGAGGGTCAGAAAAATTGAAAAATGTATAATTCTTTCTGTACACGTACGTTTTCTATCTGACATATTATAATACATCTCGATATTTACTTATACATATTTTAAAATATACACAAATAAGAATATTGCAAAATCACTTTTCGACAAATCTCGTGTCCTTGAGTAACGATGTATCGATCGATACAAAAGCAGATAGGCTTGTTGGTATTTGCGTATCCGAATAAATCGAATCCAAGTGTATCAAACTTATTCTTCCGATAGAGGATTTGATAAAAAAAAATATCATTCAAAGTAATGTGTGTTACGTTTTCTCTTTTGTTTGTTATTTCTATCTGTCGTAAAAAGGAAAAAAGTTATACTGATAAAGTTTAATCGAAAAATATAAAGAGGGAGGAGTAGATACCGCGTGTGTCGCGACTTTGGCGAGAGACACGCTAAGCTTTTGTCCGTATTGATCTAGGTTTATCCTGCATTCCTTCCTCACCACCCTTAACACCCACCCATTTTCCTACCACCCCCTACCAACGCAACATTCTGCACTTTCGCACCCCTTACATTTATATAGATCTCTTGGTTGCACACCCGCGCGCAACGGACCAAGGTTATTCCCTTTTTCCTATGATTACACGATCTAATTCAAAGGACTCTTCGTTTTTTTTTCTTCCTCCGAAATATGAGCGCAAATACAGATATACACATATATATATATATATGTGATGCTGAATTAAAGTATTGACATAGAACATATTTTCTTCTAACGTCCATTGTAAATTTTTGGAAAGAATCTGACTTCTTTATATTCAATTTATTTTATTTTATTTTTTTTTTTTTCTTTGTAAAATATACTCCCCCCCGAGGGGCTAAAGTTTATTGTATGAAACGAAATAGGGGTATAGGATAGAAAAGAAAATATCTTCTAATAGCTTAAAATAGTCTTTTTTATTATTTCTCTCTCTCTCTCTCTTTTTATTTTATTTTATTTTTTTATTTTTTACTCGTCATTTAATCCCTTTGGCTTATAATATATTTGAAGTTTTATTATACTGGAGAGAAATTTCTTCTTTTTTTTAAAAAAAAAAAAATTAAATAGAATAACGCGTACTTTTTTCTAGATTTATAGAATACGTATAGGGAAAAATAAAATTCGAGTCAATACTTTTGTTCGTAATTGAATATATATATATATATGTTTGTATAGAGTTTTGAAATGTCTACCAAGAAATGATTTTCCGTGTGACGAAGGATCGATCATTCGTTATTAACTATGTAATCTTTATTACGCGTTAGAGAACGAATACCTTGACAGATTCGATCGGTTTCATTTTTGTCACGAGGAAAAATGACGATGCTTCTTTACATCGTCGTGTCTCTTAAGAAGCTTTACAACGTAAAACTGGCTTTTGACTTTTTCATATATAGGATCAAACTAACAACACAGTCTCGCGAGTATTACGCGAACCGTAGTTCGTATTGTTAAATGAGCAGTCTAAGAAAACTTTGACTGAAACTTTATATTCTTAAGATAGGACTAAAGAAAACTTACGTACTAACTTTTATTATAGAAAAATAAGCAAGTCTGAATTTAAAAATATTCGAATCGTATAGTTTTCAAATTTCCATTCCTTTCATTTTTCTCCAAGTTCGAGCTGGAAGACAACAAAGTCTTTCTTTATCGTATCATTTCTTCTTCTTCTTCTTATTCTTTTCGTTTTCTTCAACGAAAACTACAAAATCGTTACTCTAACGTGTCCATTTTTTCTTCCAATCGTCGAAAAAAAAAGAGAGAGAGAGAGTCTAGTCTTGAACCCTCCATAACCTAATTTTTTTCAACACTGGAATGAAAGATTTCGGACGAAAAGTTACTTCGTTGTTTCTTTTTTTGTCTACATGAAATATGTTGCCGTTAGAAAAAAATGTAGGTTTATATTTCAAAGAAGAAAAATAAATTGGCCTTGAACTAACATTAAAATCTGCCGCTACATTAAAAAGCAATAAATTCCCCCATTGAAATCAGATAACACGGCCGGTATTAATGACTTTTCTTGGAAATGTCGTGTTTGCGTGATATGAATTTGAAACGCCACACATTTTTGAACAATTAAATACTTTGAAAAAAGTATATAAAAATGCTATTAAATAGATTACATAAATAGGATTGAAAAATTACACGTATACGTGTACTTAAGTGTTTAACTTAATAATAACATGGTAAAGTTATAAAGAGTTTAGATTGTTTCCACTGTTTTATTTGAAAAGAAGATGAAACCTTCTAATTAAGCTTAGTTGGGCGTGGCAGGTAAATATCACCGTAAATTTAGTTATATCCTATTCTCGGCATTCATGTAATCGTTGACATTTTCCTGTAAGAAAAATTGGTTTTCAACGAGATAGATTTAGTTAGAAATAACGTCGACAAGGCCAGGGACGTTTAATGATCACTCGGTTCTAACCTCTCTCTCTCTCTCTCTCTCTTACAAATTTCCTCTCATGCTCATTGCCAAATACGACAATGAGAATAAATTGGTTAAAATCGCGTTAAAGGAGCGAATCATGTTAAATAGGACGTTAGCCTAACGTCTCTTTTTTTCAAAAGAGACACCAGAGTATATATGTATGTTATATACCTACTTACTTACCACCTTTACACGAGATATTTTTCTTTATTTAGGACATGATTGTGTTAACACACTTTTGCTCTTCGGTGATTCATGAATGACAAGTTTCAGAGGAGTGAAAGGAAAGAGAAAGAAAGTCGAAGAAAAATCCTACTTCGACACTTTGCAGAGATACGTTTGCGTAGTTGCACGCAAGTTCCTCCATACTGAATTTACCTGCACACGAACGAGGTTTTCTATTCTTTACATTTTATGCACGACCTTACCCCTGAGTAAAGAACACAGAGAAAGAGAGAGAGAGAGAGACAGATAGAAAAATGAGAGCTTGATTAATATCTTGAGTCACGTAAGTCGCGAGTGTTGTACGTTGTACAACTACGAGACCGTTGGAAATAACGATTCATAAAAAATTTAAGATTTCATCTAACAAAAAGGCCGCCTTATAGCACATTGGCGCATATTTTTCCATTGAACGAGACCCGGAAGCGATTAGAATTCAACATTGGATTTGCCGCGTGTTCAACATTTAGCGTATAACATTGTAAAAGAAAGGAATTAAAAATAGATATACACTTTTAACCGTTTACCGAACGGAAGAAAAATGATGATGTTGGCTGACGGACAAGAAAAGGACCAATTAATAATTCATGCGTGTAAGGTAGGCTAAAATTCTCGTGTCTTTAGCGATACGTGATTTAATCTTATGACTCTTGTCATATCGTTTCTTTTTAACAATCACTCACGTTCGGTAAATTCCCCTTGCGATATATCCTAATATGTATATGAGAAAAGTAACATATCTCTCTTGAATACAATGAAACATTGTTCTTTTTTGTCAGTCGGTCTCTCTCCTTTAAAACTTTGGACTTTAATTCGCGATGTTGGATATTTGAGTAAAAAATTATTTTTTCATTGCCGTTTCGCTCAATGACGTCCGAATCCGTTGGATTCTTCCCTCAAGAGAATCGGGAAAGGTTGTGTTTCAACCACGGATGACCGCGAACCTCGTAATGCCTAATTGAAAAATTGAGTTCTGAAAAACAAAAAAAGAAAAAAAAAAGAACTCGAACCACTGACCCGAATCCTTGCATCAGACGGTAGAAAATATTCGCTCGAATAAGCCTCTTTTCGAATTTATACGATAAGCTAAATAATATAATCGATGATATACACATATATGTTCAATCATATGTGGGATAAATTTGTTAGTTAAATACGTTTATTCATATACAGTAAATTTGTTGCGTGTCCTGTTAATGTGTGTCTGTTTGTTTGTAAAATTGTCATCTACGTCGCGTGTATGTAGAAAGTGTGTATATTAATAATCGTTTACGCGCGCGCGTTATTCCACAACGATTCGTTTAACTCCGATTCATTGGACACGCGATACGATAACCAATTAACGCCTGTTGTATATATAGTATCACGTTGCTATAATTGACTTTTAAGGTGTTTAAAAATAGCTAATCGCTTCAACGATGAAATCTTATTGCGATCATATTATTTCCTATTTCCTCTTATCTATCCTATCTTATATCTAACGTGCACATTTTCTATGTCTTTATTAATCAGCCATCTTTTTCCATTTAGCAATTACGTTACATCTAATACGTATATAGTATATATATATATATATATATATACGTAGAATTCCTCCTATTGCAGTAGGATGACGCGCTTTTAATGATGTCACACACACACACATACGAATTGATATATTGTATATTTTAATTCTGATCGAAGCGTTGCATTTTCGTCGATAAAGTGGGGAACGTTCGATTTCAACGTCACCTAGGTAGTCAATCGGATAACTAGTTTTCCTGTGTATACATTCAATCGACTTTTCGGTTGATAAAGTAGAATGTAAAACCCCGAACGAATTGAATGGAAGTTAGATACTTTCGAAGAGCTTTCTAGGAAATTAACAAGATCGTTTCAAATGGGTGAAAAAAAAAAAAGAAAAAGAAAATAAGAAAGATCAATTCTATATCGATTTTATGTCGATTGTTTCAAAAATAATTTTAAATCATTTCCTTGTTTCAAACGTGATAAATTAAATAGAAAAAGGGAGGAAAGGTAAAGGTAAAAGGGCGACGTGTAATAAAATGGAGAAACAGCTGGCCTTCTTTCCTCTCGACCCCACCATCACCATTGGATTCTCCTCCCTCTTTCCTTCCCTCCCTCTCAGCCACCCTCTCTCTCTCTCTTTCTCCTCTTCCTCATCGACGGTTCACTCTCCTTGTTCGTGCGAACGAATCCGTTCCTCTCGCATTCGCGCGGAAGCACGTCTCTCTGTAAAGAACGAGTAGAGGGATCTGTCGTGTCTGTCTGTCCGTCTGTCTGTCCGCCTGTCTGCCTATCTTTCTGTTTCTCTTTCGACCTTATCTCTTTATTTTATTCTCGTCCTTCTGTCCAACCAACAACACAACAGAACTTAGCAGCAGCAAGCAGTGTCATACACATATCATACATCATACTTACACAGATATAGGTTGTCCTTTCTTTTTAACCAACCAACCAACCAACCAACCGGCCGGTGCTCGAAGTTGCGCTCGAATCCTAAGCTGCGCTCGAGCAGCGCGCGTTTCCCTGCTCCTGCGCGTTTTCTCTCTCTCTCTCTGATTCTGTTGTGTGTGTGTGGTGTGTGTGTTTCTCTCTCTCTCTCTCTCTCTCTCTCTCTCCTTTCCTCCGAGTCGATCTAACTCTCCTCCTGCGCTTCTCGACACTCTCA